GTTTCATTTACACCCTTCCCACACAGAGGACAGAGGAGTGCAAGTTATCTGTAGGATGACTGCTATTCGAAGTAACATATGTATGTGTGAAAATAACATTCAGAATCCTAGCATCCCAACTCCATTTGGCCTATAGATACGTTTTTATGTAGTCAGTCTTCACGTGACCAATTCTTATCATCAGTCATTCAAAACCCTGACTCTGGAAAAAGGGACATTTTGGGATTCTGGAGTGGGAGGCTGAGGCAGTTTTTAGAATCCTAGTCTGGTGAACTTTAAAAATTGACCAGGCACGTTTCCTGTGGGCGGGACATGGTTTACACAGCCGCTCAGGGGCCCTCCAGGCCGAGGACCCTATAGCTTTTCTCATTTTAGCCCATCTTTTCAACCCAACATACCTCCTCCGGTTCTCCTCATTCCAAAGCAAGAGCTGACCTGGAGCAGATACAGATCTAGGTTCTGTGGGCCCCTGAGGCCTGCGTGAATTAAATGAGCATCAGAAGAGAAATCGTCTCTAAGCTAGCCCTTCTTTGCTGTCATGACGTAACGGTGAACCATTTCTACACTGTATTGTTATGTGTGATGAAACATAAATTCTTTTCGACAATTGCAAGCGTTCGGCACAGTGGTTGGATAAAGACGAAGTGCTGAAACACAGTCGAAAACCAAACATTCACCAAAAAAAGCTGATGGTGTCTATTTGGTGGTCCAGCTCTGGTGTTATTCACTATAGTTTCGTGAAACCTGGTCAGTCAATTGCAGTGGATGTCTGTCTGCTGCAATCGGTTGGAGGAAATGATGAGGATGCTTGTGATGGAGCAGCTGAGATTGGTTAATAGAGACGGGCTAATCTTCTTGCAAGACCACGTGTCGCAAAAAACAACACTATAGAGGCTGGACTTGGAGACTCTCTGTCATCCACCGTATTCACCAGACCTTGCACCGACCGACTACCACCTCTTCCAGGCTTTGGACCACTTCTTGCAAGGAAAAATATTCAGTTCTCAACAAGCTGTGGAAAATGGCTGTGGCGATTTCATTGCCGCTGCTCTACAGGTTTCTTCACTTCTGGCATAAACAAGCTGTTAAGATGGCAAAACTGTGTGTATAGCTTAGGCACACACTTTGATTAATTGTACTACTTCTTGTTTGAGATATAATAAACTACACTTTGGATTCACAATCAGACATTTCATATTTAATGACCTAATATATGTACATATATTTATATGAGTATTTCTATTTCAATATATAAATTATATTTATGTGTGTTTTTCTCTGTATATACACACACACACACAAACACACACACATACTGCAGTAGCAGTAGGCACGTGCAGTGCTCAAATCAAGGCTTCTAAATATTATTTTTACTAAAAGAAACCAGAGCTCCCTAGAGAAATGGTTGATCTTAGGCATGAGATAGAGAAAGTACAAAGTGAATCTAGAACATTTTATTATGTCAGAAAGTAAGGAAGTGCTCAAAAAATTATAGAATTTATTCGGAGCCAGCTTAACAGGGTTCCCGTGGCCAAATATGGAATAGTGTGAGTATCAAAATAAATAATGATAGTAATGGCTAATCGCCCCCACTGAATAAAGTCAGAATCCACGAGTCACACGGGTAAAAGAAATAAATAAATTCTTGCTTACAGTAGGATGGCAAATAAATATGGAAGAAATGGTGGAATTAGAAAATCAACATTTAATGATTGTATTTTCCAAAATATTTTCCAACAGCTTCTCCCATCTTATACGCCCTTCCTATAATGTAATTTTTGACAGTCTTCTATCAAAAGGTGGGGTCTCTGTCCCCTACTGTTAAAACTAGGTTTTTGTGACCTTTGACCAGTAGAGCATGGTGGAAGTGATACCAGGGGCTTCCGTTTGTTCCCTGGGATACTTATCCTGGAAGCCGAGGACACTGTGAGGAAGCCCAAACTAGCCCGTGCGGAGCGCACCTGGCTGAGCCCTGGGACTGTGTAGAGAAAGAAGACACCTGGCCGGCCTACCTGCTCCAGCTCTGCCACCGTGGCGACTGCGACCTCATGAAAGACCCCAGGCCAGTACTGGCCACCAGGCCCTTCCCAAACCCCTGACCCACAGAAGCTGTGAGAGGTAATACCTTCTTACTTTTGTTTCAAGCGTTTGGTATAATTTGTTACCTGCAGTAATAGAGAACTGGAATAGCAATAAATAGATGGGGACGAAATTCCTCAGTGGATGCAGAAACTAATGGGGAAAGTTCTTAGGAGGAACAGGACCTTTATGTAAAGTGCCTCAAACGTGTGTGAATCATAGAGAAAATAGTAAATTTACAGTGGCAGATTCTGGCAGACATCTCCGTAACAGTGATCGTCCCTTTGTCACGTGAGGAGAAATTGCCGTTGTATGCAGCGGTATGCTGGAAATGTTTAACAGCATTTTAACAAAGGGCTGCCAGGCATGCTGGTTTGTAAACTTTGCTGATTTTTGTGGTGTAAAAATTCCCCCAAAGACTAATTTCAGTTTCACAACAGGCTAAAAATGTGACAATTGGCTTTTGCTTGCCAGCTCAGGTCACCCCTTCACACCCCGACTTGTGCCCACTGTGCGGTACTCCAGGATGGACAAAGCATCACTTCTGAGGGGTTCCTTTCAAGACGGGTCACCTGAATCTCTTCGTAAGGGACCTTCAGACACACCTGCGATGAGGGGCATTCTGCAAAGTAACTGGCCTGTACTCTTCAAAAACGTTGACATCCCAAAAGACAAGGGAAGACTTGGGAGCTGTTCAGACCGAAAGAGATTGGAGAGATCCGGCAACTGCAGTAACACGTGATCCCGGACCCAGTTCTGGACTCCCCTCCCCCAGAACATGCTCGGCAGGGCCAGAGCCGGAGCCGGAGTCCCTTGTCAATGTCCTTTCCTGATTTGGGTAGAGATACTGTGACTTCATGGGAGAACTTAGTACATGCACACCGGAGAATCCTGGCGTAATGGGCCGTAATGTCTACAACTTAGTCTCATTGGTTAGAAAAAAATAGGATATATGTATAGAGAGATTTTAGATGGGCAGAGACAAAGAGAATGATACAGCAGATGTTGTAAAATGCTAACAATCAGGGGAACCTGGGCAAACAGAATATTCGCATTCTTTGTACTGCTCTTGTAACTTGTTTCGGGTTTGAAATTATTTCAAAATAATAATGTTCCATTGGACATTTAGCTCAGTAGGACTCAGCCTATTGAACTAGACACGAAGGCAAGAAGGCAAGAAAGAGGAACTAGACAGAGGCAGGAGTGTGTGTTGGGGTTCATTTTGCCAAATCAGAGATCACACCGAGTCCAGGCCAGCGACCTTGCGCTGCGGCCCATGCTGGAGGTCCCCGCAGCCATGGCAACTTGCTACAGACGCCCACTCTGCTAAATCCATCTTTACCAATTATTAAATGTAAGTTGGCCAAGGTGGGACCTAAGAAATCTATTGGGATTGGTTAAGGCAATGGATCCTCCTCAGAACGAGACAGGATCTTGGAGGTCTTCTAGCTCCACGTGTGCACAGCCTGTGTTAGCTGGCCCGGGTCGGCAAGGCTTCCCCGAGTACGGCGGGAAACAACGAATGGAGAGAGGGCCGGCCGCTGCCCGAGAGCGTGGACACAGGGGATGGATGATGGATGGGAAAACACTTGCATCCACCTGGGACTTTTAGGGAATGCTTTGATTCCTTCACATCCTTTAGCTGGGTGAGGACAGGGCTGGCTTCTTGCCTTCTGTCTCCCAAAGGCCAGGCTAGGATCCAAAATCTGTCCCAGGAGGTCTTTTGTCTGGGGAGACTCTGCTCTACTCCCTCCTGCCCCAGCAGCCAGCTCAACGGAGACAAGTGACCCCCATTCATTCAATGCGTCTTTTATTGAGTACTAACGAGGTTTGGGGCTAGGCTCCGGGTTTGCACGTGTGAAACAATCAGAAACGATCATTAGTGCCTGCCCACATGGGGCTTACAGTCTGGCGGGGTGGGACCGTAAACATGGAAATAAATATATGATTATAAACTGTGATTGGAGTCATGAAGGAAAAGAGCAAGGGGCCGGGAGAGAGAGTAACAGGGCAGGGGGCTGAGAAAACCTCTCTGAGACGGTGACGTGAACCTGAAACTTACAGGGTAAACAGGAGTGAAGTAGACAAAGGAAAGAATGTTCCAGGTAAGGAGAATGAGAAAGGCCCTGGTACAGGGTAGAGCTCAGGACACTACGGGAACAAAGGGCCAGTGTGGACAGGGCCAGGGGCCCTGGGGAGCCTGGGGCAGGGCGGCGCTGGGAGGGATCCAGGTTAAACAGGATGCCGCACGCCCTGCGGAGACGTTCGTTCGGGTTTTATTCTAAACACACTGGTTGTAAGCAGGGGAGTAACCTGATTAACTTCCCAACAGTCATTCTGCTCTATGAAAAACGAACTGGAAGAAACAAAGAGAAGAAAGGGGATATCAGTTAGGAGGCGAAGGCCATAACTCAGGCCAGAGGTGACAGCGGCCTGGACTTGCTGACAGCAGTGGAGGTGGAAGGCACAGGTGGACTCCAGGTACATTTCCGTGTAGGGAGCAGGGCAGAGCAGCTGCTCTGAGCGACCAGGTGACCAGGTACGGTTTACCAAGGTGGGGGAGGCCAGGGGAAGGGCGAAAGGGAAGGGTTGCAAGTTCACAGTTGCACATGCTTGGTTTCTGAGACTCCTGTGAGCTCCCTAAGTGAATGAATAAATTTGGAGATCATCAACAAACAAATGGTATTTAGAAGCAAAGAAGTGGATGAGACTGCCTAGGAAAAGAGTGCAGAGTGCAGAGAGCAGAGAGACAAGAGGAGAGGAGACAGACGGCACCGGGAGCCAGCCCAGGACTGCGCCCCGGGACGGACGCAACACAGAGCCCAGAGGAGGAGGAGCTGGGAAAGAGAAGCAACCGTAGCCACGGCCAGAGAGAGGAGGAAGCCAAGGGGGCTGATGTCACTGCGGCTGAGAGAGGAGAACGTTCCCAGAGGGGAATTTGGTCAGCTGGCCTAGAGTTTCTGACGGGTCAGTCAACACGGAGGCCACTGATGTGCCGGGGGTTGGGGGTGCGTGGAGCGTGGCCGTCTTCTCCTCACTGTGCAACCACGTCAGCTACGAACTTTTTCCATCGCTTCTCCCAGATTTCCATGAAAGCAGTTTTCTTGTCCTCGGACAGGACGCTGTACCTGCAGGAAGAGGAGGAGCCCGGCTCAGCCCCAGGAAGGGGCTGGGGAATGGGGCAGGAGTCTGAGGGGACATCAGAGTCTTGCAGAGCATGTGGCTCCCAGTCCACAAGCAAGAACTAAGCAGCGATGACATGGAGCAGACCCACAGGAGCCCTGGGGACGTCTGCCGCAGACCTCCGGAGGGGCGGACAAATGCAGGCTGTGGGCTGGAGGGAGGCAGGGGCCCGGGCCGTGCACAGGACACTCACCTGATGGAGTTCATGGCCAGCTGTTTGAGGGTCCGCAGGTCGGCCTTCATCCCCCCAATGCCCATGAAGGCCTCGTAGAAGTCATAGGACAAGCCTCTGGCACCGAAGACGGCTGGGTCGTCAGAGCTGATCACCATGGGTTGCCCGATGGCCATCAGAGTGGCCACAGGGTGGTTTCTCAAGTCAGACACCAATTTCAGGACCTGGCCGGTAGGAGGCAAGGAGAGGAGCAAGCTCTCACCCACAAAGAGCCGTCACAGGGAGGCCAGACCTCGAGCACAGGCAGCTCCTTTTTGTCCCCATTCTGAGCACTGGGGTGACTTCTGGGCAGAGTCACAAGGAGACACGGGGACATAGCCAGTCCTCGCGCTCTTCCCTATGTTCTCCAAGTTTCGTCAGCACCACAGACGTCTGGTCTGACGCACCTGGGTCCTGCTCAGAGCTCTCCTGAGCGCGGCGAGACAGCATGTGCGCAAAGAAACCGTCGGAAGCAGCAGTGACCCAGGGCCCTTCCCACCTCGCTGGCCTCTCGCAATGTCCCTTTCCTTGGTCCACAGCTACGCCCGAAATTCCACCCCACTGGGGACCCTCACTGCTGCCTCGTTATGATGACTGGTTTAGGCAAAAGGCCACTCCTGAGTAATGTTACTAAAGGGAGTGGGAGAGTGCAGGAACAGAGAAAACCAGTGAGTTAAGAAGAGAGAAATTATACAAGAAAAGGTTTGGGAATCAGAACGGAGGGCGGAGTTAGGGGAGAAGAGCACACTGGAGGAGTCCCGGGAGCCACGCATACCTGGTTGGAGATGGGACAGACTTCTATGGGGATGTCCTTTTTCTGGGAGAAAGCCCTCACTGCCGGGTGTTTGCTCAGAGCAAAGCCGTGGCCAATTCTGGTAGTGTTCAGTATTACGGCATCCAGAAGGTTTTTGTCTACGGAAGTGCCGTGCCAGTCTGGAGACAGAAGGACAGTCTTCAACGGGGGGTGTACAGATCGGAACCACAAACCACCCGCGGGCAAAGGCTCCGGACACCCCAAGCAAGAAAACGAAGAGAAATTAACATTAACAGCCCCACCCTCACACACGTTTTCCTTTTAACAATGCTAAAGAGAGATATGGTATACCTTTTTTACATTTAATTAATTTATTGATTTATGAATCCGATGGGGAAGTTGAAACTTACACAGGTTTCATAAATTGGCCAAAGACATTGAACCAGTAAGTAGCAAAACTGAGTTTTAAACTTTGGCCTATCTGACCCCACAGTCCGTACTCTTTCTTCCCCTTTTTGTTAGTTTCTAGAGCTATTTTCTGGGACTCTTAGTTTATGATCTTTACAACAGTGTGTTACAGCCTCCTTATTCATAACACCAGTATAATTACTGTATGCACTTACTTTAATTTACATATTTAATAGTGCTCTTGAGACATTTACCACTCGCCAGATCACAGCAGGCGTCCTCGCTGCAGCCTCCCGGCCAACCCACCACATCGGCCCTGGGGCCAGCACCTCCTCAGAGGGCGAAAGGACAACTCCTGACTCTCCCAGCCTCCCTTGCAGCTAGAATAGTCCCAAGGCTGGCCTGGAGGTCATTGCTGGGGGACTCCTGGGGCTTCCTCCCCGACAAAAGGAGATGCGCTAAGGAAATGTTGTCTGGCTTCACTGGATGTTGTCACACCTTGGTGTGACTTCACCATCCGAAGAACACGTGGGGAAAAAATCACCGATTCAATGAGCACAGGAAAGGTTGCTTTTTACGTGAGATACCAATGGCCTTAATGTAAAATCTGTCTGATGTGTACTCCATTCTTGCAGCCAAAATCATCCTGACTGATCCACATATAAAATATGAAAATTCCACTTCTCTGTTAGAAATGAAACTCAAGAATTCTCCTTGTTAGTTAGGGTATGTATTTGAGGTGGATTTTCACTGGTTTTTAAAAGATTTCTTCTTCTTTTTTTAAATGAGGACATTACTTTCAGGTATGAAATACACAAGTCCTGGCAAAATAATCTCCAAGGACCATACGTACATCTTGGAACTGGGTTAGATCCTGCGTTATGATGTTTTGTACTGTCAGAATTATTTCACACAGGTAAACATGATTTTCCCAAGGAGGCCACAAGCTCTTCAAGGTTAACCACCACCTCCCCCGATCCCATCCCCCACAAACAAGTCTTTAAATCTCCTAGAGCACACTTTGATCTAAATTGGATCTCAATTGACTCAAAATGTCAGGAAAAAGAGATTAACGCCCAGGGCCCCTCCTCTGGGCGATGGTGTGATACAGCAGGGCTCGGGCCTGGTGGGGAAATGCAAGTTGCCCACTGCTCGCTCCTTCCCTCCTTGGTCTCCTGAGGATGCAGCAGAGAGAGAGCTGTCCCGGGGTCCAGGCACCCAGGCGAAAAGCCTCCCCAATCTTCCCGTGGATCTGAATCGCCGCCATGCTCTCTGCTTCGTTAGGGTTCACACATTCGAGGACTGGAGCATGAGAGGGGCTGAGAGATGACGGAGCAATCCCTGGATTGAGCTCCGGGGACCAAACATGTGCCTGGGCTGATGGCATTTCAGGAAGAACAGCAGCCAAGGCGGCTTAGGGCAGGGCGGCGTCTCCTCACTGATGAGGGACGGAACCTCTTACGATGGGAGCAGGCCTGGTTCTCGTCCCTCTTCTGCCAGCTTCCAGCTGTGTGACTTGGGGCAGGTCAATTAACCTCTCAAGCACAATTCAGTCACACAGTGGAGATCATCAGAAAGGGCTCAAATTCACACACATTGTATACATGTGTCCAAATATCGTTTGTACAATACTGTACAAATTATGTGTCACTAGGATACATCAATTTAAAAATAATATTTGTAGGCCGGGCGTAGTGGCTCATGCCTGTAATCCTAGCTCTCTGGGAGGCCAAGGCAGGCGGATTGTTTGAGCTCAGGAGTTCGAGACCAGCCTGAGCAAGAGCGAGACCCCGTCTCTACTAAAAATAGAAAGAAATTAATCGGACAACTAAAAATATATAGAAAAAATTAGCTGGGCATGGTGGCGCATGCCTGTAGTCCCAGCTACTCGGGAGGCTGAGGCAGGAGGATTGCTTGAGCCCAGGAGTTTGAGGTTGCTGTGAGCTAGGCTGACGCCACGGCACTCTAGCCCAGGCAACACAGTGAGACTCTGTCTCAAAAAAAATAAATAAATAAAATAATATTTGTGCTTGGCCTTTTAAAACAAATTTTTATAGCCGAAGTCAGACAATGTGAGTTTGCAAGATTATGCCCTCACCGTGGTTCCAGTTCAGACTCCTCTATTTACCAGCTCTGTGACCTGCAAGAGTAACACTGTATTTGCAGGCTTGAGCACTTTATCTATAAAATGAGGATAAAAACATGCCCTGGCAGGTCTGGGGTGAGGATTAGAAATGACACAGGTGCAGTGCCCGATGCCGTTATTGCCATTGCTGTTCCTTCTGCGCGGCGCTGCCGTGGGGACTGAGATAACACATGCGAAAGGCACCTCCAGGGGGGCTGCGAAGCACCTGTAGACCACAGCCGGGACAGCGGGCCCTGGCGCCGGCTCCCGCAGCACCCTCTGCCGCCCCCGCGTAGACCAAGCAACGGGGCCCACATGGCTCACCCGTCTCTCCGGCGTGGAAGAAGTAGGGTAGTTTGACACCCTGCTTGACAGGAATCATCAGAGCCTCCTTGTAATCAAACAGGGAGTGGCCAGTGTCCTCATGCCCCACCTGCAGGACAGAGAAGAGAGACATGGAGTGTGCTTCCCCCGCGGCCCATAAACACCCTTCCTGTGGCCTGCGCTACCGTGTGGGACCTTTGTCACACGGTCTTCTGAGAATGACCAGCAGCAGAGTTGGGGTAAAAGAGAGTGTGTTATTGCCCTGAAACAGCTGCTCCCTCATTCAGAGGCCGTGCCTTGGATCCCCCCGGCCCTGCCCACCCGTCTCCTCTCACCGCGGCCTCCCGGCCCTGGCTTCAGCCCTGGCTCCTGAGGGCTGGCGGGCCAGGAAGGCAGGGCGCCCCTGAGCTCTCCTCCAGTCTTGCACAGAGACGGGAGAGAGGGCCGCTGACATGGGAGGAGGGAGGAGCTCCTGCCCTCTTCCAGAGAGGCTGGGCCCTGCAAGCCTTCCCGGAGGACCCCAGGAGGACGCCCTGGGTCCAAACACAATGGCCCTGAAATCCACACCTTTGGGCTCTGGCTGTTCTGAAACCAGGAGCTTAAGCACAATCTCAGGTTATGTAAGAGGGAGCCGGCGCCTTCCAGCCAGCTAAGCCGAGTTAATGTAAAGAGACTGAAGAGTTGCCACCCGGGAAGTCTGGCCTGGCTGTGGCTTTGATTAGGGGACGTGAGGGACAGTGACAACACCTATGGATATGCAGCTTCAGAAACAGATAGGGAAGCAAGTGTGTTAGAGAAGAGGGAAGGACAAATGTCAGATCCTTGAGGATTTGCACTGTGTTTTACTCTGCTTCCAGACACCACCCCTGCCCCACGTACTACAGGGCGCCAGGGCGGTTCTAGGAGCCAGACGTAGCTGATAACGTGGGATAGAGAGAAGGACAGAAGGCAGGGTAAGGGGAACGGGGCTATAATTATTGTCCACAAGCCCTGAACTCTGTCCTTGTTCTGGAACTTCCCTTGTTAGCCATCTGGCCCCCTGCTCTCCCTTCTCCCATCACTGCCATCCCCCCAGGCCCCAAGAGAGGGTCAGCGCTGAACTCCGGGCAGCCCTGCCAGGTCAGCGGCCTGAGCCTCTCCCAGGGTTTCGGTGGGAGCTGCGGGCACGTGGATCTCCCTGCATGAGGGCTGCCCGCTTCGCAGATGGCCCTTCTGTTCACAGAGTCGTTACCAGGTCAAACCCTGCCACCATGTTGGGGAACTTGGTTCGAAGGTCCATGGCTGTTCGGACGGATTCCTTGATGAGAGACACGTCTTTGGATCTGAGAGAGACAGAGAGACATGAGGAGACAGGGTGACTTGGCATTGACAGCCATAAATCCCAGAGGGCTCCCTCTGTGCCTGGCACCGCTGCCACATGGCCCCATCCCTACCAGACTATGGCGACCTCTGACAGATATTTAGCCCAAATCCATTCCTATCAAGAACCCTTGCTGGCTCCAGAGGTGTCAGGGGACCCAAGGGAAAAGAGGCGGCCGAGTGGCCTTGTCCCAAACTTTCCCTGCATCCCTGTGGGGCTGGGTCATGGAAGCAGACACAGTATGGAGGCCGGTTCTCCGTCCACTGGACACCTGTGAAAGGCCACGGGTCACCCGAGTCCCTGACAAGTAGGCTGGACCCGGTAACCATCTGGCCTCTTGCTGATTAAGTCAGCAAGACCCTGGGCACTCCAGGAACCCCACAGGGCAAGGCAAGCGGCTTAGCAACAGACAACGAGAATCCGGCACAAGTCCATAGACAGGACGAAGTCTCTGCCCGGCCACTGGCTCACCTGTTCCGATCCTCACTCTAGGGGACTAAGCTGTCCTGGCAGCCCTGCCATGCCCTCCCCCACAGCCTAGGGGAACGTGGGGGCACCGATCCCCTCGGCTTGCCCCTCACACTTCCCTGCCACCGGCCCAGGGAGGGGGCAGCTGGTGCCAGGGAGCTGTTGAGTGGAGCTGGCTGGGCCCCTCCTGCAAGCTCCCTCCTGGGAGGACCAGCACGCAGGCGAGGGGCTCAGCTCCTGCCACCCCCAGGCCCTGCAGGAGGGGAGGAGGCCCCGGGGAGTCTGATCGCTCTCGGTGCCCAGCCGCATCCCGTCGGTGCCCCTCCCCGCAGCCTGACTCAAGTGACCCCATCTGACTGCTGCCCTGCAGCTCTGGCCGTGCAGTCACGGCCTCAGACCACCGCCCCTCAACGCCTAGGGAGAGCTACTCATTTGGGAAAGTCATAAGGACAATGAAGCTATAAAGCTTTCTGTCCTTGCCTGGGAAGGAGAGTGGGTCCTTCACCACCCCATGTGCCAGGCTGCGCACTTGTCATGCTGTGGGGTCCCCACACGCAGACCCGAGCCAGCACCACTCGGCCCGCATGCAATCTCATGCAGAACCACCCCAGTGGCAAATTGAAACAAAGAAATGGGCCAGTTATCCAAACATTCAGGCAAAAACACTAGGCTCATTACTGAGTCACCCAGGCCAGCGTTGGGTCACAGCCTAGAATCATCTGGAAAATTGTCACGGTTCTTCATTCCGGTTTGGTTGTGAAGACCCAAACTAGAAGTGATTTCACGGATAGATCCAGACTTCTACACTCACGCACAAACGCACACGCCGAGCCCACAGCTCTCTGGCATCAGGCCCAGGGTCTCAAACCCACCCCCAGACCCCCTGCCCTGCTCTCTCCTCTGCTCCCCTCCGCATTCCAGCGCCTCTGCCCACATCCCGTTCTCCCAACTCTAGCAGCTGCTGCGATAGTCGCTCTCACCTGTGATCCGAGTAAATGATTTTGATTCCAATAAACTCCGGGTGACTTTTCACGAACATCTGAGCCACGTCCTTGTAGGTCTTCACTGACCAGTCCTTGTCGTGGATCTCCCCGTTCAGCTCGTACACCTGTGAGGAAAGCACGTCCCGGCCGGTGTCAGAGGTGAGCAGGGAAAGACATCATTGCCAACTACCCACACTCTCCTTGTTCAATGTCCTCTACAACCTCTGACATTTTCTCCACTGCTTGACCAGAAGACCTGGCCTCTTCGGGGATGACACTCTTTGATACCTGCCTGTCTCATTCATTGCTGCATCTGCACACGGTGCCTGGCACACAGTAGGTGCTCACTAAGTATTTGTGTAATGATTGAAGAACAAGTCAGCGGGAAGAGGTCACAGAAAGAAAGAGTGGCCCAAGAATCCATGTCATCTCCCTGCCGTCCTTCCCACTCCCCTCCCCACCTTCTCCACCTCCGGGCAGAGCACCCCCAGGCGGTCACTGCCACCAGGCAGGGAGAAGAGCTGGGAGTGGGTGGTAGGTAAGACAAAGGAGGAGGAAGCTGAGGGAAAAGAGGTGCATAGAGCGGACGGGTGTCGAGAAGACCCCTCGAGAGTGCCGCTGGCGGCTGGGCATCGAGCCAGGCCACAGTCTCCAGGGAGTCGGCCCGCTGGGACCCTCTGCCCTGCCCTGTCACTGGGCCAGGTCTTGTCCCACACCACGTGGCGGTGTGCACAGGCAGTTCGGGGTGAGGACAGGGTGTGGGAGCTACTGCAGAGATTGTAGGGCGAGGCAGGGTGGGGGAAAGAACATGTGGGGTTCGATTTCTGCCCTTGGCCCTTAATTAAGCCCCTGTAATGTATAAGGAGCGAGCTGAGCACGGGAAGGGACAAAAGTGCTGACAAGGCAAGGTCCCTGCCCTCCAAGACCTGATGATCCAGTCGGAGGCGGACTCTCCCTGCTTACACGCAAAGCAGGAGGAATAAGGAGGACACAGAAGGACGTGGGAGCTTACGGGAAGCAGCAATCATTCTAGCGACAGAATCCGAGGTCACCAGTCTCTGGGGCCAGGGGGTAGGGCGCGCAGGGCCTTCGGGGAGCCCAGAGCTACTCCTCCTCCTAAAGGGAAAAGCCCTTTCTCCTCACTGGAGCCAGCCCTGTGTCCCTGGCCCTGAGGGAGCTGGGTCCTCTCAGGGACCACCTCCTCTGCCCGTTGTTGTCCACCAGTCCCCCCTCGCACCGTCTCCCCATGCCGGGGCCCGCCCATGCTCGCCCGGGCTGCGGTCACGGGCTGCGGTCACGGCGTGCACCGCCTGCGATCATCCCTGGCCCTTTGGCCTGCGGGGGTCCTGCCCTGCTGCCTGAGTTGGGGGCAGTGAGGAGCTGCAGCCGGGCCCTCCCGGCCTTGCTCTTTGTTTCCTCTGCCACCACCCGGGAAGCCAGGCACATCAACGTCCCCACGAGGCTGCGCCAGCCAGGGCAGCGGGCTCACTGTTCCCAGGCGGAGTTCCGCTGGCGGCTTACGTAGCAGCACACGTGCTCCGGACTACTGACCGTCACGGCTGCTGGACGTTCCACGGGGAGATCCTTGGGCACTGCTAACCCAGTCTGCGCCGCTGCCCCTTGTTACTGTTTGCTTACGGGGATCGGAATGTGCCACCCCAACACACACCACGTTGGTGCGAGGGTTATTTTGAGCTGAAGGCGATTAAGCAGCAGCCAACGCAGACTGAGCTCTCTGCCCTCCCCCATCTGCCTAAAAGCAGGACACAGATTTCCCTTTGTGAAGGTGTCCCCTGCCTTGAGAGGAGGACAACTCTTTTCCGTGGAGACGGAAAGCTGTGGCCGAGACGGGTCTGCGCAAACAAACCTTAGGAAGACGGCCCACACCGCCCGTCAGTTTCCCACACGGTTACCTTCCTGCAGCTTACTAGAAGCCCAAACCCCTCTCCTTGGTCTTGCCACTTTGCAATTGACCCCCCGGTGTTAAAGGGGTGTATAAGCCCCGCTCCAACTTCTTAGGGCCTTTACTTCTTCTGGGTGAAAGCCTCTACCTGTCTGTGCACATAAAATTAAAATATTAACACCAAATAAAATTTGCATGTCCTTTCCCCTGTTAATCTGTCTTTTGTCAGTTTAATTCATGGGCCCACGCAGATAACCTAGGAAGGTAGAGGAAAAGCTCTGTTTTTACCCCCTGCATTTCCAAGGGTTTAAAGAAGGAGAACTTTCCCGCAGTGATCAGGGCCGCAACAGGCGTCCAGGTGCCCCGTTAGGGTCTCCCAGTCTCTGATGCTAAAAGAGCCCATGTGCTGTAGCCCCACAGTTCTCACGGTGTGGTCTGGGGGGCCCTGTGGGTCCCCTAGACCTTTTCAGGAAGTGTATAAAGTCAATACTCTCTTCATAATAATTTTAAGATATCACTTGTCATTTTCACCCTCATTCTCTCATGATATACAGTAGAATTTCTCTGAAGCTGCATCGTGTGTGATGATATCATCCTGACAGATAACAGACTATGAGCTTGCATTTCAAAAGCTTCTCAATTTTAATAACTAATCAGGATATGTCCATAGATATGATCCATATAAATACAAGCTGTTGGAAATCCTCACAAAAACTTCTAAGAGTATAAAGGGATTCTGGGACCAGAAAGTTTGAGAACCATTGCGTTAACCCAACCCGGAACTGTCACCTGCAGGTGTCTTGCCGTCACCCAGCTGGTTGGCAGCAGGGAAGAGCAGAGTTCTGTCCATGCCCTGACCGCCCTGTCATTATTGAGTCTCCTGCTCATACCTCCTAACTGGAATAGAGACTCCTGGAGGGTGGGGTCCACAAGATTTTGATTTCCTCACCTCTTCGCCTACAGCACCAGAGTAGGAGCTCCACAAATAAATATTAATCCAAGAAGAATGCCGTTCACAAGTGGTTTTAAAGATACTAAGCCCCAGGCAGCATATTTTAGGGAATGGATGAATAGACAACTATTGGAGGGGTGGTGAGTGGAACTGTGCTAGCAGAATAGAAGGGAGACAAAAGAAAGAAACTTAAAAAAAAAAATCTACAAATGACACTTCTGCCTAAAAGAAGATCTCTGGCAGATTAATCAAGCATGCAAAGATATGCAAATGATACGCCCAGAGGCCCGATGGAGCCTTACACATGGCAGTGGTTCCAAATCATCAATCCTGTCATTCCTGCGCCTATCACTGGAGACGCTGGGCCGCACGCCTTCAGGGTTCTACCCTCACTGCTCGTTGTCACAGCGCGGAGTGCCAGGAAGACAAGATCTGGCTCCCAGGGCTGCAGTCCCTTTCAGAGCCCCTTCCTGGTCTCCTGGTGCCCTGTAAAGCACCCCGTCCATGCCCTGCACTCCTGCAGCTCTGGCCTCTCCAAAGAAACTGCAGCCTCAAAGGAAGGGAGTGCTTGGGATGGGATCCCAATGCTCTACAGCACCCCCACTTCCAGGAGAGGGAGGCCCCCACTGGGGAGGGGAGACCTGTAGCTCCTCCCAGCCTCCCAGCTAGGCGGTTTGCAGGCATTTGAGGGAAAGGCTCTGCTGGTTTGGGGGTTCTGGTCAGCCTTCTGGATTCAGGCTGCCAGTGGAGCTACAATCTGTCCCAAGTCAGTCATACCTCACAGGATTATTACAAGGATCAAATGAGTTAATATTTGTAATGCATTCAGAAATGACAACTATTAATAATGTTATTATTACAAATCTATCATCGGATTTCGAAAAACAACTCAAAACCTACAGTTGTAAGTACAAGCAGGTGGTATCAGTCGTTCATCTAAGACTAAGTGATGCAAAAAGCTGCTGTATCCATGTAAAACGCCTTGAATTAAAAGCACATTGAGGCCGGGCGTGGTGGCTCACGCCTGTAATCCTAGCTCTCTGGGAGGCCGAGGTGGGCGGATTGTTTGAGCTCAGGAGTTCGAAACCAGCCTGAGCAAGAGCAAGACCCCGTCTCTACTAAAATTAGAAAGAAATTAATTGGACAACTAAAAACATATAGAAAAAATTAGCTGGGCATGGTGGCACATGCCTGTAGTCCCACCTACTCGGGAGGCTGAGGCAGGAGGATTGCTTGAGCCCAGGAGTTTGAGGTTGCTGTTGCTGTGAGCTAGGCTGACACCACGGCACTCACTCTAGCCCGGGCAAAAAGAGTGAGACTCTGTCTCAAAAAAAAAAAAAGCACATTGAACTCAATTTAGATTACTTTGATTTTTAACTATAGTTTAATTAAAGAACTGTAAATTTGTGGGGAAATTATTCAAACTCCTTACATAAACCAATATAATATTACAAAGTTTTACTGTCTTCGATGTCATGGAGGTACAGAATTTTGAAGCTTGAAGGAACTGTAGGGAAATTTGGGAGCAGAGAGTTGCTCCAGGTCACACAACTAGTTTGTACCAGACCAGAAACTAGGACTCAGGTTTCCAATTTCCGATGCAATTAGCTCTCACTACTGGAGCATGATTCATTTACTAAGCTTTGAGCTTCTTCTAAGTGCCAGGCATGTGCAGAGAGCTTTACATCACAATCTTATTTAATCTCAAAACTGCACGGGTAGGTAGGTCTCATTTTATAGGCGAGGATGTGGAGCCTTAAGAAGGTTCAGAAAGTCAGCCCTGCTACATGGGCAGTGGGCTGGGGTCTGCCAAGGCCAGAATCCTGCTCGCCCAGGGGAGTCTCAAATCATCTGCGGGCCCTGCCCCCACCTGTATAAAGGCCACACTGTCACTCGAGTGACAGTCCCAGGGTCTCAAAGTCTCTGCCTTGGCTTACCTTGGAATCGCCCAAGGAGAGGAAAAATGCCTGGGTCCCACCCCAGACCAATCAAATCAGAATCTCTGCGTTAGAGTCTGGGTTTTTTTGAACCTCTCAGGTGATTCCGGTGAACAACGTACAGCTCTGGGGGCTGGACAGACCAGTAAACAGCGTGGCTGCTGCGCGCACGGTGAGTGCTGTCATAAAGGGTCCTTAAGAGAGAGCATCCTCACAGAGTGACAGGACATGAAAAGGCAGCCACTTCCGCAAGGGGCCAGGTGGAATCCAGGCAAAAGGACTTGGGGGAGGGGCAGGGGAGCACTAGAGCACTTGTCATACAAGTGACAGCAT